TAATTTTATTTTTAGGCAACTTTAATTATTATCCAATTTAATTGTTGAGCAGGATATTTAAAATATGTGTTATGGACCAATAATAATATTAAAATATTTTTCAACTCTAAATAGTTTGCATTTTATGTTTATCATTTGATCAGGCATAAAAAACATATCTTTTTTGTTAAATTTATAAAATTATTGTCTTCCCAAAAACGTTTGTTTTTTTGAGGATATTAACTTTAAAGGAACATTTCATTCGATTTATTCATATTAATAATAATTGTTAGTTGAAAAAATATCTAAAAAATGTCTCAACGGCATCAACTACTATGGTTATTAGCCGCGTATTCTATGTAAGCTTTGTTATTGTTTCCCAGTGCCTTTTAGGAATATCACTATTAATTAGAACACAGTGAATGGTCGAGTGGGAAATCCTACCCATACATTAAAATTAATATTTATTTCTTTAAATTAAATAAAAATCGTGTCATCAGCGGGAGTTGAACCTGAGAATCTGGGATCTCAAAGTCCTGATCGGATCACTGCTTGCTGCTATTTTTGAGATTTTGCAACATAGTAGTCTGAGGCAACAACAAGTAGCTCAAATATATAAAGTGTAATCAGTCGTGCTTGAAATCGTTAGGGTCCGATTACAATAAAAAGAACACAGATACGTCATCATTTGACGAATTAATTCATTGGTTATCGTCGCCTACTGAGGATTTAGTAGCCTGTTAATATCATGGAAACAACAGAAATCTTTTTTATACCCAACAACTTACTTATTCTTTATTTATTGATAGTTATAGATAATATATATTTGATATTAAAAAAAGTGGTTATGACATAGAGCTGTTATTCTTATTGCAGTCGGATTTTACCAGCAATTTGGTGGTGCCAATATACGACAACGGTAATCGACAAAGAGTCATAAGTAGAAGACAGCACCGCTCTGTGATTACAACTGCCTGAAGAAGTTGCACATTCTCTATGTCCAGGATTCGTGTAAATAATGAGATCCATGCAAGCCGATTATAATGGGTGGAAATCCTTTACGGACACCGCGTGCCTGGGAGTGTGGGACTCCTGAGTGGAATGAGCAAGCCCAGTTTACCCATTGAATTCTTTGAGAAACACTGGTAATGCTTCTTGAGCATTGCTTCGTTGTCCTCAATTGTCTTTTATTGTGTCCTTTCATTCTTTTGTTTCGTTAACATGATTATTTTAATCGATTTAGTCATGTTTCCTTATCCTAAAGCATCAGCCCTGATATGTCATCCTTGGTATTTGCTATGGTTGATCATTTTCTTATGCTGTGGAAGATTGTTTGTTCTGCTAACATTAATTTCGTTACACTACCAGCATTTATTGTTGACGTTATTGCCTATTTTGTCTAAATATGTACCTGTGAATACTTGCGAATTCTTGTATTGTTTCTGTCTCTCTATGGCATTTTCCCTTTTCTTTTATTATTCCTGATTAAAGTTCTTATCAGGTAGAAGTCTTTTCTAGTAAATGTAAATATTGATAATTTGTCATTAAAAAAAGTTAAGTTTTTATACAAATAATCCTGGTGTATACGTATCTATGTGAAAACTTAGATATTACTATACACCCTGTACGAACGTGTAACAGTATAAAATTGCATGATATGTGAAATGCATGTGTAAAACCGAACCCGAAGGGCATACGAAAATAGGCTTGTTCGTTTCTTAAGCCATCGCCAGCTGATAGAAGTTATTTCAGAGAAAAAGAATTTAAGCTAAAGTCGTATCTTAAAGCGTTTTGTTATATTATTTTCGAAGTACATGAAGTGAATGGCATCGCTTCTCCAGTAATTTCGAATTTAAATTTAGAATTTTAGTTAAAGTGTTAGGTCGTATTAGGAGCCATGTCATTTAACAGATTGAAAGCTGACTTTGATGGGACAAACGTGTAATAGTCGTTTTTAAATATTTTCTAATTTGTTTCGTTGATTAGTTTTTTTTATATACAGGTTTTGTCATAAGAACTACTTTAATGTTCGAAAAAACAATTAAAATCTGTAAAATTCTGCCTGAAAAATACTAGAAAACGTGTTTGAGTTTTATAAAACTTATTTTATCGCAAAATTAGAACAGTTATGTTAATAAGGGGAAGAATGAATAAAAAAACGTTGAATTATTTGTTTCTGATGTTAAAACGCTTAATAAGAGCTAAATAATTGAAATTCGTTACAAAAATAGCCAAAAAACATAATTAAAGCGTGAGATATTCAGGTGTTTCAATAAGTAGGTATTTTATACTATTTTCCTTTTTATTTTATTCTAACCCTGCAGATTTGTTATTAATTTTAGTTTGACACTGTATGTAACAGCAGAAGCGCTACATCATACATAATTTTAAACGCTGTGTATTCATCTAGTTAGATTGAAAATCAACTGAATTATTCAATTGGGGATTTAAATTATGTTGATCATGAAAAAATAGGTCGACCTAATATTAACTAACTGAATTTTAGAACCACTTATTTGTATTAATTTTTATAACAAGAATACTTAAGTTATAATATTTTATAAATTTATTATTTATAACTTTTAAAATTTTATAATTTTTAAAATACGTAAAGCAAACTAGTTTTTTTGTAGATTGTTTCAATTTCATCAACAGAAGTTATCTTAAAACTATTTAATATACATTTTGTTATGTTCTTCCTCTTATTAATTTTACTTAACATTCTCAACAATTTAATTACTTTGCCTTAACCGTTAATATTTTTAACAAAACATGTTTATACTTTAAACAAATCACTATCTTTTTACAACTACATCTATAAAATTGTTTAGCACGTACCTAAATGGAAAGATTTCGAAAAAACAAACAGCAACTTCTTCTATTTATTTAACGATGTGATAATTGCCGTGACGTTTGAAATAAAATTGGATTTGTACTATTAATTATTATTGCATGTGATGTAAGAAAAAATCAATATGTTTTGTGTTTATTGATGGCTTTCTACTGATATAAACATTGATTTTTGTTATTGTCACTATTTCCGCAATTGATTTTTCCTTTCTCCAATAAATCTTGTTTATTCATTATTTCAATCTCTTTTACTTGTATTTTCATAGTTTGTTATTCAGAAGATAAAAAATTAATTCATACTACTTATTGTTATAAATATTTGTATTGTCTTTATAAGCAGATAGATTTAGGTTTGGCCCTGAACACTGCTCCTATGTCAACAAATGCTGCTAGGACTATTTTTTGGCTACTGATTGATAGGCATGTTGTCTTGTATGAAATGGCCTCTTTATCATAGTGGTTTGCCAGACATCAATCAGTTTTTCCAATCCTTTCAATAGAAATGACGTCAGAGTTATAGGTCTTTAAGCCTTTGCATGGGATAAGCTGATTTAGGTATAAAAACCATTTTGCTTTTTTTCCAGGTATTTGGTACATATTTATGCACCAAACTTGCCCTGTAGAACCTACAAATATGTAGGGCCAGTGTTTATATTGCCTGTTGCCGAAGCGCAGGCAATATCTCATCTATTCTCGGTGATTTGTATGGATTGAAGGTGCGTTTTGCCTATGTTACTTTCTCTCTTGTGACTAACCGTTTTGCTGTTTTCCACTCTTGGCTGGAGACTCTTTTGAGAGTTCCAATTAGTGTGGATTTGGTTTGCTGCATTTGTGTTTGTCGTGCAATAAGGGAAATAAGTTTTGAAAAGTAGTTCTAATGTTTTCATTCCAGTTTTAGTTTATTTCCCTGTATTGGATCTTTTGCTAGAATGCGGTGGAGCCTGCATCCTTCAATTGTATTTTCAATTTCCTGACAGAATATTCTCCATGAATACTTTATACTTTGTGAGTGTTTCGGTGTGTTTCCCCTCTCAATCCTCTTTTTAGCCTTATTAGAAAGTTTCCACCTGCGGTGTGGATGGAGATAACATTGCTTAATTTGGTTATTCTTACTTTTCAACCTCCACCTACATTGGTGAAGAATGGACTTCAGGCGGCAGTTTCAATTTTGTTTTTATATTACTGTTATTCTATAAGAATCTGAATTATCCTAATTTGGTTGTTTTAAACAATTTATCCTTCACACATTTTAAATACAAAATCTTTTATTTTGTCCTATTGTATATTAACTTACCTTTGTTCTGTTCGAGCCCCAACACATGCCCATACTAGATCCAAGGTTCTTGTCTTAGGGCTACGTCTATGTCTTCCCTGATAATGGTACGTGCAAGGCTTGCGGAGGCGGCCTTACATGGCTTGAGATAAGCTTGCCCTATTCTAAGCATCTGAAGGTTCTTCCTTCCTCTCCCGTTGCACTATAGAGATTACCTATATTACGTCCAAGTAGAATTTTAACTCTATGTTTTCTAAAGCCTTCAGATAGTCGTCGTTAATCAAACCAATTCATTTTTAATTTATTTAAAATAGTTACAAGGAACACATTTAAGATTTACGTTAAGAAAAATAATCAAATAAGTATTAATTTTTGTATAGATGAGGAATTTGTTTCGACATTTACTGTCTCATGCATTTATTGCATCAAAACCTTTATTGTTCTAATTCGTTCAATCACTTATTGTTTCGATCATTACTATTTTAATTGTCTAATGCGTTTAATTGTATCAATCAACTATTGTTTAAATGCATAACAGGTAGGTAACAAAAACCAATACAATCATTCTCATGGGTTCTTTCCACAGTAAAAGAAAATTTCAAGGTGAGCGCACATGTTTTATTGTCATCTGTCATTCTTCACAATATGTCATTCTTTTTAGCCATCATTCCTGTCGTATGTCACACTCGCCATCTGTCATAATATCTGTAAAATTAGGCTAGTATAAGTGCTACACGATATTTAAAGATTTTGTTATTTGCCTTTAAAGTTGTATAATTCGAAAATGGAAATGTTTTTCATATTTACTGTCACAATGACAACTATAATATGGTCAAAAATGTTTTTAGATTTGCGTTTTTATTTAGAATTAATAATGAAGCATTATTTTTATTTTCAGGGTCTGCTGATAGTGGTATTGCAGAACAGGAACAGCCTTCAGTAAGTCCTGAATCCAGGGTACTTCAAGAAGTTTTAGAGACTGAAACCGTATACGTAGAAGACTTGAATGAAGTAATTGAGGTAAGCAGATATTTATTTTATAAAATAAATACATTTTTGCAACATATTTTATGCTCATCCTTCTTTTATTGACAACCAGATTTATATTATAAATCTTCTTCTTTTACAAGTATTTAAAACCTAGAAAATAATCGTTGAGTCATCTTAATACAAATGCTAACATCTTGTGTGGTTGGTACGAGTATTGTTGGCTATTCTTATCACTTCCTTTTTTAGATTTTCTGTTTAAGAAGTATATTTATAAGTATTTTGCTCATAGATACATGTTATTTAAAAGATGATTAATTAGAACTTTGTATGATTCAGTGTGACATCAATGATAACCGGGCGCCAGTATTGATATAATATGAATGACTATTATACATTAGTTTTTTTTTAAATTTCCATTCACTATAGAAGTTAGGAACTGTACTTAAATAAACTGAAGAATATAACTGACGAGAAGTTGTTTATTCCTTACTACATGGGCACCTTCGTTATTTTTTCCAGGGTAGGGCAAAGGTATAAAAAAATAATTCCATCTCAAATATGACCAAGACGTAAAATAAATTAAAACGCAAAGCAATTATCACATAAAATACGTGCAACCATTTCCCTTGGGAAAACAACTACCCCCTTGGCTAATACCGCAACAGATATTGAATTATATCAAACGGAAAGGCAGCAGATATAGAAATTTAATTTTAACATTCTACCTTTAATTTGCCTACTAGGAAAACGTCATTTTTCAAAGATATAAAGTTATCTTAACCTCAAAAGTCCTCGATTAAATATAAAAATCTATGACGACTAATTTCTAAGCCGATAGAAAAACAATAAACATTACGCCATTGTATTTGACGAAATATTTATATTATTGTTCATTAAATTAATGAATATTTATTAGCTATTGTCGATAGTTTAGCACTAGGCCAGCAGGTAATTAGTTTTTAATACCGTTACTTGTTTGGTATGCCGCTCGAGTCAAAAAAGAAAAGATGCAAGAAAAAATCGTAAGAGGAGGTGCAAATTTCGCTTCAGGGGCGTTATATTATTTTAAATCTTTTTTTGTTTACGTTGGAAATTAGAAAGGATATTTTTTTGTATTGATAGACTAGAGAAAGTTTTTGCACTGATATAAAAGGAATACAGACGATGGAATCAGAACAGATTTGTTTCCGAATATTTAAATTATTGCCCAATTTGAATTTATAAAAGTTTTAAAGATAGCAGTATCAAATCTCAGGAAACTAATATTATACTTTTACCAGCCCGCCATTTTAAAACCAGTCAAAATATTGATTTGATGTCTATACAAAAAGTTGTTACATTACGTTTTGTAATATTTCGTTCAACTGGTAACTAAAGACTGAAGGGCCCTTAATCAAAGATTTAAAAATGAAATCAAAACATCGACCTACTCGTAAGTTTCCGACACTAGAAATATAATTTTATACGCCAACATAATATGCATATTCCAATTTATAGATCGTATGTAGGTGGGTTAGTTAACAAGTCTAGCAAATTTTTCGCAATTGCAAAATTTTATATAAACGTCGTCCGGTTGTGTAATTTTGAAATTAACATCAGAAATTACTCTCATCCCACGTGAAAACTAAAAAGAATTGTCCAGCCGTTATTTTTAGTTATATCCGTCAACTGACCGCATACTCGTAAACATAATATTTCGCAACATCCATGGTACAAGACAGAAATGGTCCTTTTCAAAAGGAAAAGGACGAAAATGGAATTAAAACTTCCAGGACTCTTAAATATAAAAATAAAGTTTGCAACAGAGGTGAAGTACCTAGGTCTTACCTTTGACAGCAAGTTAACATGGAACTCGCAATTAAAAAACAGAGTCAAAAGAGCATACATTGCTTATAAACCTGGGGTTTCTTCCTCAAAGTCATCGCATGGACTTACACGGCTATCATAAGACCTATGCTAACATACGGTGAAATTGTCTGGGTACCAAAAACCCAAAAAATAACAGCTATCCGTAAACTAGAACAAATTCAAAGAACAGCATGTCTCAACATAACAGGAGCCGTGAAAACAACAGCGACCAGAGTCATGGAAAACATTCTTAGTCTCACTCCCCTTGATATTTACATCAAGGAAGTTGCTTTGACGACAATGACACGCCTCAGCACGGTTGGAATATAACCTAATGTAGGATCTGGTAAGGCGAGACGTCGCTTTTGGCAGGAGGCGCTCGATCCCACGAATTTACTCAGGGTTGATACTAGAATGTCACGAAGCTTTGGCCGAAGTATCCATCAACAATGTGGTCACCTTAAGATGGATCAAACGTCACACCACATCGAAAGGTAAAGAAAGCAGCTAACTAAATACTTTTTGGACCTGGTCCTTCTATTGGCCTGACAAAATCGGTAGTGACAGACCTAATTAAAGGACATTCTCTTGTAAAATTCAAGGAAAGATGGGATGAAACAAGACTCTGCAGAGTAGCCATGGAACTTTTAAGTTATCCTGACAACACTGTAGCAAACAAATACTAGACAGAATCTGCGCCTAGTCACAGGCATTCTGACTGGTCATTGCCAAGTACGGAGGCCTCTCCATATCATGGGGCTATCAGAATCCGCACTCTGCAGAGGGTGCGAACCAGAAGATTTCTCGACGCTCTTATTTATTAGAAGATTTGAATTCGGCGAGTATCGGCTAACACCGGCCGATATAAGAGAGGCAACTCTTAGCGACGTTGTTAACTACATCAAATCTGTAGGCTGGCTCACGAGCAAGGAGGTGCCTATCATCTTAGGAGGATGCCAAATGGGCCTAGTGAGGCCTAAGTGCCGTGGGGGGTAACCCACCCTCCACACGTTACAGAGATCGATGGCGCATTTTTGAAGTGAAAAAATTACAAAGTTTAAATTTCAGTTGAGAATTAATTCTGGAAAATCCATGACACCTTCAATAAAAAATTGGGAAATATGTTGTCTGGATCGACAAAATTTTGAACCACACGGTATATTTCAAGGTTAAGCTAGTCGAAGTTGAAAGTAATTAAAATTATCATTTGTTTTCGTTTCAAGTACAGGGAAATTCTTTGATAATGTTTGATGTATGGATTTATGTTCTTTTTTTATGTTTTAAGTGTACATACGACGTGATAGCAGACCCCACGCATTCCTAACCGGGATAGAGGGTCAAAAATAGACATAAACGTTTTTTATTGATGCCTGTACTTATCTCCACAAATATTTAATGAAAAAATGTAGAGCAATAAAGAAATAATTGAACTTCGAACACCTTTAAAGTTAAAAAACAAAAATCGCATACAATATGAAATAGATCCTTCTTAAAATACTATTTATTTGCCTTTTTATGGGATGACCTAAAATTTAATTACATTCTTTTAAAGGTACCATTTGGCAACGTGCGACAAACGACGCGACACCGAGACAGAAGTAAGGCGGCAAATATTGTCATACTAAATCTGATGTCGTCGGTCACTTTTACCGAAATGTGTTTCATATAATTACATTCGTTCAGACGTGAAGAGACCGTTTAGTGCACATACTAATATGCAGTCATTGTACACTTTATTGAAGCAATGCTGCTTTAAAAACTGTATCTCGCCCCTCTATAATTGATTTATCCAATATTTCAGTGATTTCTTTTCTTCTATTATCGCTACCATTTACTATTTATAGATGATAAATATGGATAAGCCTCAAAAATCTAAATTAAATTATTTAAATACAAGTCGATTATAATCTCCCGGTTTTATTTATTACTCGAATACTCATGAATGGTTAACAAGATGCTTATATGTCATTAAACCGTTTATTTCTTACAAATACCCATTACATTACGTAAAGTGGGTGTAGCACTTAAAAGTAAACTAGTCTTAATGTGCACCAACTCGGGTTTGCCATGCAAATTGAGACCATATGGAATGAACGAGGAGTATGGAGTAAGTACTTGACTTGGCCATGTAGGTAGAGGCCTCCAGATATGATATCCGTTCTTTAGTTTCGTTTTAGAACGTTTGAATGATCGATTTTTTATGCATCTACAAGGTGATACAAAAATCAACAAACGCCTACGACTTGAAAGGAAATAGATTATAGAAATAATCCGTTTCAAAGATTGAATTCCTGTATTTAATCTGTATAAGTTTTTATTCTTTTGTATGAATTTCACATTTAATTCACAATTAGTGATTTTTTGAAGATGGTAGTTTTAAAATTAAACTTCTGGAAGGTAATAGTTCGACTTTTCCACCTCACGAAATTAAAACCAGTAAAGGTATTGAATTGCTGTCTTCAGAAGTATATTTTTACATTCAATTTATACTATTTTTTAGATTTTGAAATTTTTTCAATGAGTTGTTTTAAATTAATGTGTTTTTTAAGATGGCTGTGTTAAATTTTTGGAAACTAATAATTCGACTTTTCCATTCCACCAGTTTAATACTGATAAAGATATTGAATTGCTGTCTTCAACAAAATATTACATATGTTTTGTATAATTTTTGTTAATTTTGAGATTTATTTAATCATCTAGTTTTAAAATTATTGAAGTTTTAAAGATAGCTGTATAAAATGTCTGGAAACTAATAATTTGACTTTACCAACCCACCAATTTAATATCAGTAAAGACATTTAATAGCTACCTTCAATAAAATGTTTCTATATATGTTGGTCTTAATTTAAACCCTGTGGAATGCCGGAAGAAGCTAGGTACATTTTTGATTAAATTTATCTTTTTTATTTATTGATGTTAAAAGCATTTTATTTATAACTATAGGAACAAAATTAAACTAAACTGTGCAAGTCGGCTTAGAATCGGATCCTGGCATTCCAAAAATGGTCAAAACCGACAATAAGGCAATCGCCTTAAATCTTAAATCCCAGACTGTGCAGTCGCGGCTATGCGGCCATTTGTGGCTAACTTCATTAGATCGTCTGCATTAATTGCGAGTTAACATAATAAGTCTGTGATTATACAACGATTTTCTATGGTAAATACGGTTGCTAATGAAGCCT